GGGGGCCCTTGACCTTCCAGGTAGTGCAGAGTCCGGGGGCTGGAGGGAAGTAAGTAGTTCTTCTTAATATTTGTTCTAAACTCTTAACTAATATCAACACACATATCATTCATATTTATTTAGGTGTTTACAGGTTTTTTCCTAGTATCCCTTATTTAGCACTAGAATATAAACTTAAGAATGGCATGGCTCTCACCTCCATGGCTGTTCCTCAAGGGAGAGTTACAGTGTTGTTGTGTGCAAAACAAAGCCACAGACCATCGATATTGCATTTATGGTCCAGAAGTAGGTAACATGGCACGCAGTAGGGATTTTCATGGCCGTGTGAGAAGAGGAAAACGGAAAAGAGCGGGGAATAGCCAACGGAGAAACACTAGTTAAATAAAAGGAAAAGGTGTTTAATTCATGGTTTGCTTTTTCCATTCAGTCTCTTAGTAAAAAGAAAAGATGTGTTCTCAAGAATGTTTGTTTTGTCTCTGTGCACTGTATATTCCCTGCTACCTGCTGGATGAAAAGTAAACTCAGATGGGGCCCTTGGGTGGCTCCGTTGGTTGGGCGACCCACCCTTGGTTTCTGCTCGGGTCACGATCTCCTGTGCGGTGGGATCAAGCCCCGGGTCGGGCTCTCTGTTGACAGTGTGGAACCTGCTTGGGATTCTCTCCCTCCCACCCTCTCCCTGCCCCTCCCCCCACTCTTGCTCCTTCTCTCTGGACATAAACAAGCATTCAGGGAAAGCCAAACTCAGGTGGGGGGCGGGTGGGAGGTTGGGGGTTCATACCAATCCTAACTGCCATTCGCTCAGGCCGGGTATTTTTCTACTGAGCATGTGAAATGCTTCCTATGGTACATAACTTCCAACATTCCTATAGCAAACTTCCTTTACAGACAAAGCACCGGTAAATGCCTCAAGTTCACGGGAGTGGTGAATGACCTCCCTGGGACTGGATCCCTGCTCTGGATTGGTTTAGATCCATCTCAAGACCCATGCTCTTCCTTTCCTCCCAGCTTTTCATTCTTTCTCTTCTCATCACTCCACACTCTATCTCATGGGATAAACAAAACCCTGACCCAAAGTGGCGTTTCGGAATACACAGCCACGGTAATAATAATGCTACATTACTGTGTAGCGTGACCAAAGATAAGAAAAAACTGACATCCAGTGTCAACAGGATCACCTGTACATGCAACGTCAGACAACCCAAAAAGATCAGGGGCTCTCAAAATCCTGACGGGCCCCGCCTCGTCCCTATAAGAAGTAAATCCGTTAGAAGGAGAGGCCCAGAAGATTCTGTCTAGCTGGCAAAGAGAAGGATTCTTCTCTGACAGCAGACCATCTGGGCAGCCCCCTACCCCCAGCCTCCCAGGCCTCCCCCCCCACCCTTGCCTAGTGTCACATCTTCCTAGGGACAGTGCCCAAGTCCCTGCAAGGCCTGCAGTCAGAAACCTGCTCGAGGGTCGGCAGGGATGTGGATTTCCCAGCGGCCTCTAACTGAGGAGAGGACAAAATGAGGACCCTAGACACCCACACCCCAGAACATGGGATTACCGAGGTGAGCTGCCCTTACACTAGGGGGCCTCAGGTAGAGCTGTACCTGAGCGTCCCCTCCTCCTTCAAGGTTCTCAGAGATAGAGAAGCCTCGGTTTAAGGGCTGTGTCCTCAGGGCAGTGGAGGGAAGAGTCCCAGCCTGACAGGTAGCAAGGTGGGGACCCCGAATGAGGAGGGAGGAACTGCCCGTCCTGCCACACCAGGGGCTCCACGACACATACCCTGCTTTCCGCCTCGTGTGGCTGTGGCCGGCGCTCTCCGGCTGAGGCTCCCCCTCATTTCTTCTGGTGGGGAACAGAGGAGGGGGGTTCATGGGGAGGCGAGGTCTCGCGCTGAGGCAGCAGCTCCGATTCTGTCCAAGCAGCAGATCCTATCCAACAGGCCTTACTGGCATTTAAGGTGAGGATACCGAGGGCTGATGAGTGGACCCCTATGACAGAGGGGACCACACAGAGCCTCTGGCAGGGGGAAGCCAGGGAGTAGCAGCTGGCCTTCCCCGTCTAGTGTCTCAGTAAGATGACAGCCTTGCCGGAAGGCTGGCCGACTCAGTAGAGGAAGGAGTCCCATATACTCCCCGGAGTCAAGGTTAGACACCCGAGCAAAGCCCGAGGGGCTAGTCACTCAACAAGAGGGAAGTGTCCTAAAATTTAGCCCCTACTATGATCTTTCAGAGGATCCCAACAGCCCCGGACAGATAGGGTTCATCCTGACTTCCAAATCAGAATGTCCAGGCAGGTAACGGCCTTGGTCTGAGGAGCACGGCCTTAAGTGAGTGAAGGGTAGAGTCCCAGGGCTGGTCATGAGTCAAGAGGAGGACCATGAGTGAGGAACAAGGGGACCCCTCACCCCAGAAGAGAGGAGAACGCCCAGAGTCCCACCCTTGCTGTCAGTCCTAGGAGGCCCAGGGCAAAGCTTTCCAGCTGAGGTGTCCCCTCTTTCCACGGGAAGTGGTCTCACGGAGGAGAGGGCCTCTGCCTAATGGGAGCAGCCTCGGTCCTCACGGTGTGGAAACCTCGTCCCTAACTGGAGGCAAGTTGATGACTCTAAATCAGGGAAAAGGGACACCGACCAGAACACATGGGGCCACGCAGAGCCCGACCACTGCTGTCTTCTCTCCGCAAACCCAGGAATGTTGGCATTCCTGTCCCGCTCGTGTCCTCTGGGGGTGTCTTGTGGAGGAGGTGAGGCGCTGGGTCGAAGGGGCGAGCCTCAGTGGAGCAGAGGGAGAAACTCCAGGTCATGCCAAGAATCCGGCATGGGGCCCTACGTCAAGAGGGAACCACCCAAACCATAAAGGTAGAGACGCCACAGAACACCTTGGCCACTGTTGGCCATGGGACTATAGGAAGGGTTGCCATGGGAGGCAACCCTCACAGTCCCCTAAGTGGTCTTAGGCCATGAAAAGCCTTAGCGTGGGGGAACGGGCCTCCAGGTCATGGCAAGAAGCAGTGTGAAGACTGAGTGAGGACCAAGAGAAACAACGGAAAAGAGAGAAGAACAAACGGTCCCACCACCCTGTCAGACCTGGCTGGGGGCTCCAGGCAGGAGTATGCAAATGTGTCACCCACTGGCTTCCAGCCTTGGGGGACTCAGGTCAGTAGAAGGAGGCCTCCTAGATCCTGACAGAGTGAGGACTGTAGGTGTCACCAACCTCAGAACGGTAGAGTCCCATCAAGTTTTGTCCCCCGCTGTTAGCTCTCAGAATCTCCAAACAGCTGTGACTAGATGTGACTTACGTGACTTCCACCTCTGGGGACTCGGGGTGGTAAGGCCCTTGGTTGGAAGCGAGAAAAGGGACAACTGCCAGGCTGTGCCAGGGATAAGGGTAAGGGCCCTGAAAAAGGAGCAGAGCATGAAAACCATAACAATGGTGCAGCACATCATATCCGCCCTGCTGTCAGTCCCGGGAGACATCGGGAAAGATGTCAGGCAGAGTGAAGGCAACCCTCAATTCCTGTCAGGGTGACAGAGAAATAGGGAGAGTAAGAGATCAAGAGAGGAAGGAATGAGGCCATCCCAGAGTCAAACTGAGGAACCTGAGTGAGGACCAGGGAGACAAACCATCCTAAGTTCCAGATTTGCCTCCCACAACTTTGTGTCTCAAGCGACCACAGGCAGGGGTGACCAAATATGGTCATCCTCACTCTTTCTACTGGGTCTCAGAGCGTTGTGGCCTTCCTAAGAGGAGATGTCTTCAGGCGAAGGTAGAGA